TTCTTTGGTACATTTCAGATTCACGTTGCCAAGATGTACTGAATTCCCACTATGTGTAAGGAACTGTGTCCAAGCAGGTGTCCTTGGGGTGCTCAGCATGCAGCTCTTCTCTTTCTGACCGTGAGGCTGTGGCCTTTCCTTGCCCTTCGCTGGCCTGCTTCCCCAGTGTGTGGCTTTGGCTGTTTTTTCCTTTCTGACCCTTGGCAGAGAGCTATTGCACATCAGAGGCTTCAGCAAGAACACTCACTTCCCCTTGTTTCTGACTTCCCATTAGAACAAGACAGTTTGTCAAGACAGTCCTGGATGTGATAAAGTCTGGTGTGGGGAGACTAGAGGAGGCTGCTTGGCAGCTGATCTCGCCCCTGAGAGTGGGACGCCTTTTTCCTGGAAGGCAGGATATAGTTTGTTTAGGTCGGACTTTTTTTTTTCTTCTTACAGGAGGTAAAAGAGAGCGAGGAACAAGTAGAAACTTTGACCCACATTACTTAAAAATCCCGAGCTTCCACCCTCTGTAGTGTCCTGCTTCTTCGTGAGCACATCCTGACATCTCTTGCTTACTGCCGTGCTTCAGTTTTCAGCCTTCTCTGTGCAAGGGCCCCCCTTTATTGCTTTGTTTTCTCTGTAAGGCTCACCTGGTGGCTCAGCTGGGTCAGTGCAAAAGTGGGGATAGACGTGGCAAGGCTGCTGACCCTGTTCTGAAGTCCTTGACCTCTGGCAGAATGGCACCTGTGCTAGCATTTCCGAGATGAACACAATCCTGAGATGGTTCACGTGTAAACCCCAGTAGTAAGAAGCAACTGAGATCTCCTTACCTTAATTTTCAGGGAGTGATTATGGTTAGGGAAGAAGCAGCATATCAAACTATTTTAAAGATAAATATTTACCAACCAAAATTTGGGGGGCAAGGAGGTTGCCATTCTGAACTCCCAGTGCAGCAGGTGATCTTGCAGCTGAAATAATCTCCTGCTTTTCCTATTCTTCCCAAGCTCTCTGGAGAATTTTATGAGAGAGTTTTTACAGCTCTCTTTTCTGTTTGGCAGATTATTACAGGGACGCCTGTTGTTCTTCCGTGTCGGGGTCATCCCCTATTAAATTCGGGCACTGGGTCTCAGTGCTCTGTATCACTGAGGCCTTAAAACTACATTGAGCAAATAGTGATTTGCCCAGTTGGACTGAGGAGTGAGATTTGGGGGAGAGCTGGGTAGCTCATGTACTTAAAGCCTGAAGGCGACTGAGAGCACGGGAGTCCTAGGGAAGGATAACGGGGCCTTTCTCAGCCTGCCTGCTTGGAGAGCTCAGCTTTTTCCTCTTATCTTGCAGACCAGTTCCTCCCCCCACTCCGGGGTATCCAGGCAGGTGCGAATCAAAGCTTCCCAGTCGGCGGGAGATATAAATACCATCTACCAGCCCCCCGAGCCCAGAAGCAGGCACCTCTCTGTCAGTGAGTATTTCACCCCTTTTTCCTCTCATCTGTCAATTTTTTTAATGTTATTTTTAAAAATTATAAATTTAAAAACAATCATCAAACATTATTGACTGCTAATTTGTTCGGAATAATCTTCCATGTGTTTCTTTGGGGAGAAGAAGTAGAGAAATGACTGGGATGGAGTCCTGGCCCTCAGGGAGCTTAAACTATAATGTAATGGCACAATCAAATTCCTTTTCAGCAGTCTTGACGTAATCTCCTCAGACATCTGCTTGAAGACCTCCAGCTGCAGCCTACCCTCATCTTTTACCATTCTTTCCCCAAAGGACTGGGGACTTGGGGAGTTAGGAGTTAGGTCCAAGTTTGAGTTTTACATCAAACTTCTTACTTGTGCTTCCTGAGAAGTCTTTATGCTTTGAGGAACATACAGACCAATAAAACCACTGGAGAGTCAAACTAAATTGTTTAGGAAGGACAGGACACTGTCCTTGACATAGTGCATACAGTTGGCTCACTAGGAAGAAGGCTATGTAGCTGCTGCCAGACCTCCCCAGGAAAAGAGTTTAACTCAGGTCTGTGCAGTATTCCAGGCAACCCAGTGTTGCTCTGGATTCCACTTCCTACAGTGTGAGGAGAAAGCTTATTTCTTGAATTGTGGAAATTTGGCCTTCTCAGCTCTGTGTTGAGGTTGCTGCCCTCGTGTTGCTGAGACCCCTGCTGCTCTCCATCCAGGTTCTAGCCATACAGGTAGAATTGCACCATCTGAACTGCTCTCTGGAGATTTTGAGCTGAGCCTGGGGAGATCTGAGCATTGGTCCTATCGCTGAACTTGTCTGGGGGTGATAAGCCTCCTGAGGGAGCAGCAGGAAGAATATGTTGGCTAAGGCACTGACTTTGCCTCACTGAATAATTCTGCAACCCGAGCAAGCACTGGTAGTAAGTATTGCCAAGGTGAAAGTCTGTATATGCATTTCATATTTCTCTAATATTGTGGGTAATTGGTGACTATGTTTTCAATAAGCTGGTTGAGGAGAGAAAGCCACCACCCTAGCAGGGAGACCTTACCCAGAACCTCTCTAGCCCTGGAATCTGGGAATCTCTGCTAGTTTGGCCTCTGTTCCAGAGCCCTTGTAGAGTGAGGGGCTGGAGAAGGGCGGTGTTGGGCATTCTTGGAGAGAGCATTGATGACTGATGTGGGACAGTGATTAGGCCCCCTGCTCCTAAGCAAGTGCTGTGACTTGTGTATGGAGGCAGGGGCTGAATGCCGGGCCATCACTGTAGGGGCCATACGTGGAATCTCCTTGTCTGCAAATGCTGAGGAATAAAATTTCTGCAAACAAGTTCCTATTCATCTAGAGAATGGACAACACAGCCTCCCAGCACACATAGATCCTGGGTTCCTTCATTCAGCAAGCATTATATACCAGCCTTTGGGCTGGGATGAGCGGTGCAGTGGAGGCATGTGGGAGGTGGTGTGGGAGCACAGAGAAGGCAATAACCAAGTCTGCCCAGGACTTTGGAGAACAGTTTTCACAAAAGTAGGGGAACATCAGAGCTGACATGTGGAAGGAGATTTACTGAGCATAAAGCGGAGACAGATAATCCAGACACAGGGAAGACCATCTGCCAGGCACAATCACAAAAGAAGGTGGTGAGTTCTGAGAACCCAGGTGGTTGGAGTGGTGAATTTGACGAGAGAAGTGAGCAGAGCCTGCCAGCCCTTCTCTAAAGCTGGAAAATGACGGAGATTATGTCTAACTGAAATGACCTGGGAAATGCAATCAGGGGAGGAGCTGTGTAAGCTGGATTTTTAGAGATTATGGAGTATTTCCATAGAAGGATTAGGGGAGGGGACTTTTCAATGATTTGCTGCTAGAGATCTCACTTAAATCCTTAACACTGGCTGATGTATTTGGAGGAGAAATAGAGGAGGCTGAGAAAGGAAGCCTGCCTTGACTGAGGAGCCTTGACTGCACGTGGGCTTGTTTGGTAGGCAGTGGGAAGCCACTGAAAATGGTGACCCCTTGTACCTGTCTGTTGTATTGCTTATTCATTATCTTGTTATTGTATCCTTCTCCCGATCAGACTGCATTTTTATTTATTCATTCGTTCATCTATTCATTTAAGAAAGAATTACCAAAGTATCTTCTGTGTGCCAGAATCATGGGAAGCAAAAAAGACACAGCTCTGGTCCCTACGGCCCTTATAGACCTGTGGGAGGTCAGATCTTACTTGTCATGATCTGATCCATGTATAATTATAGGCTGTGACTAAAAGGTGTGTGGTGCTGTGAGCACCACTTTAGGGTTTTTAAGTGAAGAGGAGTGGACGGCATGACATATTTGGAGTTGTATTTTGAAAAGATTGCTCTAGCTGCATACAGTGTGGGGAACAGACTGGAGATTGGATCTAAGAGAACCATATTACATATCAGCTAACGCAGTGGTCTGGGTAAAGGGAGACAGTAACTTGGATCAGGCTAGTGACGGTAGTGGAGAGAGGAGGAGCAGGTGGACCTGAGACATTTAGAAGGTGAAACTGTGACAGAACATGGCATTGTGGCTGTGGTGGGGTCTGGGGACGGGACTAGGGGGTCCCCGAGATCCTTTTAGAGGGCTTGTGAAGTCAAAACTATTTTCATAATAATACTAAGATATGATTTAGCTTTTTATTCATTCTTTTGTAAGTATATAGTGGAGTTTTCCAGATGTTACATGCCTGAGATAATGTCATTGCTCTATGGTTAATGGAATGTGTGCTTGTATATTATTGTGATATAAAACTTTTTGACCCTTAATTTTTAATACAGTGAATATCAACTGATACAACCCCCATAAATAAAAGCTCTTTAGTGTCCTCAGTTTTAGAAATTAAGAAGGGTTCCAAGATCAAAAAGTTTAAGAACCACTATTGGATTGAATTTTAAGTTGTTGAGAGATCAGGACCTAAGTTACTGATTTGTGGATCTGGATAAATGGCACTGCCTTTCACCAAGACAGGGACACTAGAAGAGAGCCTGGCTCACGTGCTGAGAAGGACAGACCTAGTATTTTAGACACGTTGAGTTGGAGATGCCTCTGAGACTGCCAGTAGGAGATAGCAAATGGGCAGCTAACTACACAGGTCTCCAGCTCAGAGGGGAGAAAACTAGGGTAGAGGGAAAAATTGTAAGTTGTCACTTTGAAGCCATGGGCCCAAATGGAAGTTTCTAAGCAGACTATAGAGTGAGGAGAGAGTCTAGGATTGAGCCTTAGGGACTCAGACAGTGGCAGTTAGAGGAGGATGACCCTGCAAAGGACGCATAGGAAGGGAGTGACCAGAGAAGTAGGAAAGAAACTGGGAGAGGGTGGGGAGGAGGCCTTACGTGGTACCAGCCAAGTTGGACAGGACAGTAAGAGACACAGACTTGTCATTTTCATCTACAAATGTCTGAATACTTGCTATGCTGGTATAGGGTAAAGCCTTCTGGGAGTAGAAAGAAACAGAAGGAAAGGAGTCAGAGTTTAAGCATGAGGGACTAGGAGAAGTCCTAGCAGTAGAAATCAGGTCAAAGGAGAGAATCCTTAGTGGCTGAACCCTTCTCAACTGGAGGGAGGTTCTTTGCTCTCCTTCCCCACCAGCATTAATGTACCTGTGAGCACTGAGTGAAAGACTGAACATGCAGGCCATTCAGCTGCAACATTTTCAATAATGAGGAAGTGCAAGGTAGCCCAATCCAATTTTAGACAACTCTGTTTATTTGACATTCTTCCTTGTTTTGAATGAAAATTCTGCCTTCTCTCACATTACGCAGTAACTCCAGTACTGCTCTTGAGCAACACAGATAACATCTTTCCTATGACAGTTTTTCAGATATTTGAAACCAGCTATCATGTCCACCTTTTGTTTTTTTCCATCATAATATACATACCTTGAATTCCAGGTTTATTTTTAAGCCAGTTACTCTGTTAAACTAGTTCATGCTTAAAAAAAAAAAGCAAAAAACAAACCTACTAGGTAATGAGTTAATGCAAAGAGAGACCCCTGGGAAGAGCTCCAGACAAGGCGAATGGAATTTCCCTACATGAAGATACCCTTTCTCAAGTCTTTGCCTATGGAAGTTGTGTCCACTTTTGAAGCCCAGCTCAAGCACCATGTCTTCTCTGATACATGGTGGTGCCCTTAAGCCATATAGGCAAGCCTCAACTAAAGGACTTGTTGCTGCCAAAATCTGACCCCCGTTGGGTCTAGTGCATTTTAAGTGCCTTTGACTCTGTTTTACTCCATCTTGCCACTGCATCCCACAGTAGGGCAAACCAGATTGCAGTCCCTAAGGAATGGGTAGCCAGTGTGTGGAGGCAATCAGTTCTTTCAAGGCGTTTGGCCATGAAAGAAAAAAAGAGGTGGGCTAGTGGATTAAGGGAGTGGCAGAAACAAGGTCAGGATATTTTTAGGCCAGAGATCTGAGCATGTTTATGAAAGGAGGCACAAAGACAGCTGAAAAGAGGAGTGAAGGTGATGAAGAGGGGACCGTGGGGAGCCGACTCCTGCTGGGATGAAGTGGGGATCCAGGCCAGGGGGCTTATAGTGCCGTGGCAAAGAGAGAGGAGCCCTCTTTCTGAGAAGAAAAGAGGAAAAACTCAGGCAGAGGGGAAAAAAGGAATGTTGAAAGGATGAGATGACTTATATATAATGAGTTAGAGAGCAGTACACAGTGCAGACCTCCAGTCCTGGTACAGATTTGCAAGAGTGGAAACCAGGACGGCAGAGGTGGTGACCGTGTATATATGGAAACCGCGTGGTCAGCTGCCTTAACTTCCACAGGTTTTCCTCCTTCTTCCTATAAATTCTTCTATGATAGTAGATGAGACCAGAAACTGTTTAGTGATAGTAGCAACTTCAACGTAAAATTTGGGAGTTTTGTTGTTCTCAGGGTCTTATGGGATGAAAATATCGAGAAGCTTTGTTCTGCACAGCCTGGTTTAGTGTGAGCACATTGGGAAACATTGGTTAAGATTTTCCATTGAGGAAGAAAAAAAAGATTTGATTCCTCCCCTCATCTCATCTGCCCCCCAAGAGAGAACAGGGTTTAGAGAAAATAGTTGGTGGCCAAAAAAAAAAAGCTATCTCTTTGTACTTGCAATGACCCACACATTAACACTGACCCAAAGCCCTAGAACTCCCTGTGGAGGCAACTTCCTGGCTGCATCGCTTCCTGACAGGAGTCTCCTATGAGAAGAGCTAGAATCCAAGAGCCTATCTTTCAGCTTTGAGTCAGAGAACAGAGCAAAAAAAAAAAAAAAAAAAAAAAAATCAACCGTATCCTAGGACAAGCACTTTCCTCCAACTCTGCGGCTCTGGGTTAAGGAGGAGGCTACAGAGAGCTAGCAGGCCCTGGGAGGAATGCAGACAGCTGGCAGCTTAAATCCTGTGTAGGGTGCTTTCATGGGAAGTTGTGGGCCACTCTGAACACAGGATGACTACTCTGCTCTTTTGTTTCAGCTGGTGCTGAGAGGGAGCCCCTTGGCACAAATGGCCTGATGAGACTAGAGCAAGATCAGGCTGGATTGCCAGGGAAGGGTGTCCCAGAGAACCTGCCATCCCTGCTGTGCTTGCCTTCTGAGACCTGGGATAGGTCTTGCATAGCGCTGTGGTTTGTGCTGTCTGGCTCCCTGCTGGTAAATATGTGAACATTGATGCATCTTATAGTTCAGTGTCCTGTCCTGGTCAGGACCCTGTCTCACTTGCTCTCAACTGCTGTTGTTGTCTCATTGGCCCCTAATTTCTGAAATGAAGATAGAAACAAAACCGAAAATGCTCTGGAGCAGTTCTGCCAGCTCCTGGTTTTTCCATTCGCTTCCTCTGATAGCCATTGGTTTGGGGAGACTTCCCTTTCCTGCCCTGAGCTGTGGGCCTGTGCACAATAGCCCCTGGCCCATTGCCCATCAGATAACAAGGCTGGCTCTCTGCAGGCAGCAATGTGTATTGGAAAAAGTGAAAGTCTCTGGCTGGAAATAAAAGCTCAGAAAACCTTTGCTATTTTCCCCCAGCCCCTCCTGGATCTGTAGTGCTGACCTCATGTAAGCGAGTCCCATCTCACCTGCAAAACCAGAGGAGAGTTCACTGGCATCTGGTGAAGGAGAGAATGGATGTTAAGGGGCCTTGGATCTTTTATCCCAGGGAGCTCTGACCCTCGACATTCCATGTAACAGACTGAGGATAGTTCAGCCTGTCTAGGGATAGTCTGGACCAATGTCTGGGATTTCATCAATAAGTGAGAGTTTTTCTTTCTCTCTTATCAGTCCCTCACAAGAGACATTTTTTTTGTTTGTTTAGGTCAAATGTGTAATACCTTTTCACTCCAGACTATATTGGTCAGGGTTCAGTGGCACAGAACAGAATCCACTCTAATGAGTTTCAGGAAGAAGGCATTTAGTGAGTATTCTGACTTACAGAATCATAGGGAGTGAAAAAACAGAGTCTAAGTCTAAAGATAAACCACAGAGTTCCTCCTTCTTCTGTAATCAGGAAGCCACCAGTTCAGAAGCACAGGGCCCCTCTTCTCTGTCCACACACCACTTACACAGGGATACCTTAACATCAGGGAAACTGGAGACCAGGTGTGGGGCCTCTGCTAATGCAGTGGCAGAAAAACTAAGGCTTCGGGGCTGTGCCCAGGAACAGTAGGAAGTCATCTAAATCTCACACAAGTGCTTCTGATTAGCTGAACCTAAAGGAGATCTTAGATACAACATAACGAAGGAGGCCTTTTAGCTGATTAACTTCTGAAGTGCAGGAAGGTACGCTAGAAGGATCGGATGGATCTTGAGTCTAAGCCATTGTATCTGCCACATAGAGTGAAGGAAATGAATGGAACTCTACTGAGTTCCTACCATGTAGATGTGTACCTATTCTACCACATTCATAATTTCCAAAAAGGGTTATACGTTAGATAGTTCTCCCCGTTTTTGCAAGTGAGGAAGGCGGGAGCTTAAATTATTCAGCTAATGAGTGCCAAAGCCTGGTTTGAACCTCAGTTCGTCTAGTTTTCAAGCTTAGACTTTTCTCACTATACCTTGCTCACCTCTTTTAGGTTGCTTCTGCTGCTGACAAATGTTGCCAACTTAGGGATTGGATTTCCACAGAACTTGTGGGCTACTAGAATGTTATCCAAAGCTCGAAGTGGGATGCAGGCACTAGGCTGTTTGTAAGCCAAGTGTTAAATTGTGCTCTATGTTCTGAGGCATGGTATGGCATGAGAAAACCATCTTTTTTTCTTGGTTACACTGGGATTTTGTGCTATAGCAGCATGGGAAATGTCCAGCTGCGTGGATCATTGATATCTGGCCCTCTGGAAAATGGAGTAGCTTTCTTCTTCTTGTTCCAGATTTCCCCTTGATGGCATTTTGCATCCTTGGCCTCCAACTCACAAGTGACCATGGAGAGAATTCTGAATTTGAGCTGCATGTAACAGGGCACTGTGTTTCCCTTGTGCTGTCAAGAAATCCCCATATTAGCCTCCCTCCTGCTCCTTGCAGAAAGGCTGTGACATTTCCCCATGGGTGGGATCCATCCCCCTCCTCTGTTTGGATTGGAGAATGTATGGCCTGACCTGTTTCGGGAGAAGTTTTGCTTTCCACCACTGTGTTGAGCAGCATGCCTGCCCTTTTGAAAATAAATTATGGTTTCAAAATTGTCTTGGCCAAACTTCACTGGGACTTACAAAGTCTGTTATCTAGCTGCAGCCCCACCATTAAGTCACTTTATAAGTTTGAGCTTGGCTTCCCCTTCTGCTCACTGTGGATGACTTTAATGCACTTCCACTGCAGGGGTGTTGTGAGGGTTAAAAGAGGTAACAGAGAGTAAAAAAGAAAAGAAGGATTGCCTTGGCTGATTTCATTGCTCTGTTAGTTCATGAAAAAATACCCCTAAATTCACACTCTGAGCAGTGTCAGTTTTCTGCCAGGGCTTAGAACTAACTTGGACAAACAGATTCTCTCCTCTGTGGGCTGTTGCAGATCATTTGAAACATGGCTCAGGCACCTTTTTATCTTGAAATTGGTAGCCCATACCCTGTGAGTGAGGTTTTGAGACTGGAAATCCAGCAAAATTCTATGCCTGTCTTCAGAGCAGTTCTGTTTCTGGCCTCTGCTCTAGAGTCAGGTGGGGAGGTCAGGCTACCAAGAACCTCAGGTTAGCCTTCCCACCCGAGATACCTAATTGTGCCAGTAGTCCCCAGAGAGAGTCTGAGTTGATGCCTCCAACAAGAGATTGGAAGTGTTCTTGGTGGCAAATTCATTAAAATATCTTCCCTACAAACTAAATGAGTCATAGATTCTGAATGACTGACTTTGTGTGGAAGAAAGACGGAGTCAGTTTCTTGAAGGACATTGAAAGTAAGAGTTTAAATTCCTTAAAGACTATCTTTCAAAGATATGCTCCCTATCATTCTTTGACTTTTCTGTTGACTATTTTCCTTCTTTCTCAGGATCCTTGGATTAGTGGGAGGAGCCACCTGGCTTGGGACATTTCCTTGAGCCTCAGCACTTCCTTAGGCCCACCCTCACTTCCATGATGTGCAAAGAGCCAAACGGCTCTCCACCAGTTTCTGCAGCAGGTGCTTGGTCTGGGCTGGCCTCCTGCTCCTCTCAGGCTGCAGGTCCTGGGCTCTGCAGTCAACGGTCTTGTTTCTGTGCTCTAGGCTCCCAGAATGCTGGCCGAAGCTCGCCTCCCCCTGGCTACGTGCCTGAGCGGCAGCAGCGCATTGCCCGACAGGGGTCCTACACCAGCATCAACAGTGAGGGGGAGTTCATCCCAGAGACCAGCGAGCAGTGTGTGAGTATAACACGGGGGGGAGGGGGGGACAGGGCTGGGGTGTGGCTTGGGGAGCATCAGACCAAGGTTATAATGGAAGATTCTTAGTGGGCATAGTGTGGAGGTCAGGTGCTTGAATCCCATCCGATAGCTGTTCTGTTTATCAGGCCTGCTCAAATATGGATTATTTCTTTCTGGGGGCCAAATATCAGTTCCTACCAAAGGCAGGATCTAAGCTACCTCACCTCCTTGGTGTTGGATGTGCCTTCAACACATTTTTCCTCTTCTGTGATCCTCTCACGGTTCTCCCTGCAGAATACCACTCTGCTCTTTGCATACTTCTTACAACCACCTGTCATTTCTGCAGAGTTTTAACATATGACCAACCCTAAGCTGACAGATTTTGTTTTTCCTTGGCCATTTCTTGATGAAAGGTAGGGAGTATACCAATCCAAAGTAGGATTGTTACTTTGGGTGAGCTTTTATCGTATTAGACAACTACGTTAGTTATCTACTCCTACAGAACAAATTATCACAAACTTAGCTTAAAACAACATACAACATAATATTTATTATTTTACAGTTTCCTTGCGTTTGGAATCCAGGCGTGACTTAGCTAGGTTCTCTGCTCTGGGTCACATAAGGCTGCAATCAAGTGCCAGCCAGGCTGCATTTCTTTCTAAGCTTGGGATTCTCTTCTAAGTTCAAATAGTTGTTGGCAGAATTTAGTTTCTTGAGGTCAGTAGCACTGTGGTACCTGTTTTCTTGGTGGCTGTCAGCCAGGGGCCACTCTAAGCTCCTAAAAGCTGCTTGCAGTTCCTTGAAATCTGACCCTCTCACAATATGACAGTTTATTCAAGGCCAGCAGGAGAATCTCTTGATCCAGTCTGCAAAAATGGAGTCTTGTGTAACTTACCTATAATCATGGGAATGCATATCCCATCTTCTTTGCTGTAGTCTGTTCACTAGAAGCAAATCACAAATTCTGCCTATACTCAAGGGGAGGGGGTTATACAAGGCTGGGACTCATTGGGGTGGGTGTCACCTTAGGGTGTGTCTGCCACAATGGTTCACCCATTTTAATGGCTAGCTTTTTAAACTAGTGGCTCACTTGATGAAAATTGCCCTTTGGTTTAGTGAACTCAACAAGAATGGGATCTCTGGCTTCATTCTGAAGTTCTTTCAGTGAGCTTGCTTTGACTGCAAAGATCTGTCTTATAAATTTTGGGGATTTGATCTTGAAGGGGGAAATTTCTTAAGGGTAAATGGATACAGTTGAAGAGCCAGCACGATCACATGGGGGATTTTACCAAAAAACCCTGATTCTTAGAACTTTCCTTTTTCCGAAAGCTAATTCTTACAGCCTTTTTTCCCCCTAAATAGCTAGTTTCTGTACAGCAGTATTCAAACTATGTAGGCTGTGAGAAGCCTTTTTAAACTGCTGCTTCTCTCTCCTGTAGTCCTGCCTCCCGGATAACTTTACGTTTAGAACAGTGACGTAGAGTGCTTTTAGCTGCAGATTCCCTTCTTAGGTAGCTTACTGACCATCCTTTCCCTTTTCTCTAAACAGAGTGCCTCTGGGCATCTGGTACTAGGGTGACTTGGGTGCAGAACCTCAGAGATTGCTAATGAGTTCGATTGTCTTTGCTCTGTATCCCTCCCCGTGGCCCTATACCCTGGTCCTTTCGCTATCTTGCTCTACCTCCCTTGCCCTGGAAGGCATGGAAGTGTTAGACACCTAGTGAGGACAGACTTTTAAGAAGAGGCCAAGGAGGGTGGCAGCTAGGGAATGCCCAAGTCCTTCTCCATTGCCTGCCTCTTTAGCTAAAGAGAGTTGCTGCCAGTAAAGGGCTGTTCAAGATAAATCCACTTAACCGAGACCAAAACAGCATAGTGAAAGAATATTCAACCAGGACTTTCTTGAAAAGTGAAACTAAGATAAATTTATCCTGTTTTTTCTTTACTCAGATTTGAGTAATAGTTGCATCTATTTGCTAATTTTCAGGATGAACAAAGCATGATTCATGCTAATTTTTTTGCCTTAATTTTTAAAAATCTTGCTAGCACAACGTAACTTCCTTCACTTCCCTTTGATTTCTGCAGCACTGTCATAAAGAGGGTCCTTTTCCCAGAAGACTT